CCATACATAAGCGTTAAATATTTCCAGAAGTCTAATTTTTAAGAAAATTTAATAATAATAAAGTGTTTTATATATAATGTGTTCGAAATTACAGCGTACTACACGTTTGAAGTAAAGCAATGTTTAATATCAAACTGAAAGTTACGTGTTAACGAAAAATAGAACAAATTTTTCATAGAATTATCTTCTATCTTCTATATATATAAAAATGGATTGCTGTTCCTTAGTCTCGCTAAAACTCGAGAACGGCTGAATCGATTTGGCTAATTTTAGTCTTGAAATACTCCTGGAAGTCCAGGGAAGGTTTAAAAGGTGAGAAAAATTGGAATAAATGCCGGGAAAATCCTAAAAACAGCCCTTTTCTATTTCCCATACAAACGTTTATTTATGGCCTCTAAGACGGAATAGAGTTCGCCTGGTCAGCTATACCTACATATATTACTCTTGACCAAACTAACGCGGACGAAGTCGCGGGCAAAAACTAGTAAGGTATAAATATTCTAGCAATTCTTTTCAGAGGAACTAAAATACGACCCACATAATGAGATCTAAGACTTTCGCTAGTATTCATTGAAATAAAACTAGTATTTTTATTTACTACCCGATTTCAATTCTAGGATTCTTGTAGTCCGCGATAGCCCAATATCAAATGTTACTTTGACGTGATTTACATGAGATCGCAGCTTCAAACCCTGATCGTGTTAATGAAATTTTCATTAAATATGTAAAGGAAAGTCGTGTTAGTTACACTATTTATAACTCAAGAACGACTGTACGGATATGGATGGAAATTGATGGAGAGATAGATTAGAACATAGAAAGGACATAGGATACTTTACATCCGATTGAAAACAAAAAAATTAAGTTGATCAAATCCAAAATATTATCTACTTTCTTAAAAAGGAATAGAGTTCGCCCGGTCAGCTATACATTTCTATTTAATTCTGAAACTCAGACGAAGTAGCAAACAAAAACTAGTTTAAAATATATTGCGTTAAATTTACCACCTAGCTAATAGTGACTAACACGTTCTGATTGATGAGTAATTGTGTAACAGACACCCATACATCAACCTTAGTACGAGCAAGTACTGTACCACTCGTAAACTATTAAACTTACGTCATGAAGTTTAACAGTTACGAATATAAGAATGAAGTTTTATTACACGTTATGACAAACCTTAATATATTAACGAGGCAGAACTATTAAATATATGTGCTCTTAGTACGAGCTAGCATCGTGACTACATACTCCACGTTAACAGTTTGTCATTCATAATCTTGTCACATAGTATTAACGTATTGAATGAAACGGGAGACGCTACGTATGTAGTGTACATCACACTTATGGTAAGTCTTCTTCTATCTGGCAATTTCCCAGATTTAGCCAGGGTCTGCCTTACATGTTGTGGATAGTATTGGCTAATTGTTTTTACGACCGGCCGCCTGCCTGACATCCACCCTCTTTGGGAATTAACTTATGGTAAGAATACAAAGTTAATTAATAAAATTAATCTCTGAAAAAAAAACTAAAAATAAGTTTAATACCAATTATATTCAGTTAAAATTACAGTTAAATTAACGTGTAAAAGATACGTTTATTGTTATTTAACTGAGAAATTAAAAAGTATCCATAAGTATATTTAAAAAGGTTAATTTAATAATAACATATAATTCTTATACATAATAAAAAAGAAGTTTTCATTATGTATCATATAATATACATAAGAAAAACTAGTCACAATAAAGTTTATTTAAATCAAAGATAAGTTAAACTTGAGCCGTAACGTAAATACATAATGTTATGTTGTTAAAATAAAAACAAAAATTATATTAACCGCAGTTTTGACGTCTGTATTAAAGGTAAGCGGCTTACGGGGACTCGGATCCGGTCCAAATAAAACTATTGGGGGGGGCGCGAGTCAGGGGATGTAGCGAGTATACGAGTATATACAGGGTGACTGGTGAATTACTATCAATATTTGAGGAGAGTACTCGGTACATGATTCTCATTCGAATTATGTAAAAAGAATAAGCACTTAATTTTTGACCAAATTTCCGTATAAATAAATAAAGTGTGGACACGTTCCAAGTGTTCCAAGTGTGGACGCGTGCGGCGGCGTGCTGATACAACACCACGCCCCGCACGCGTGTGTGTGTGTGTGTGTGTGTATACCTAATCTGTAGGGTGTTCACACGATGCGTAATTAATTACATAACTTTTGGTTAACTTTACTTAGAAGTTTATTAATATTTATGTTATATTAATTTTTATTTTGTCATATATGATCGTCAAATATCACGTCCTCAAGTATCGATCACTAGTTCTTGCCCGAGACTTTGTCTGTATAAGGTCATAATAAGAAAAGTGTTACTACACGAACTGTTTCGATTTAAAGGCAGAAAATATCCAGATATTGCAGTTTATTAAGTATTTTTTTATGTTCCGATCGAAAACTTAAATATCCTATGTCTGTCTCCTTGTTCTAATCTATCTCTCCACCAATTTCCAATCATATCCGTTCTTGAATTATACCTATATAGTGTAACTAACAGAACTTTCTTTTTTTTTTAATAAAAATTAGTAACGTTTAGAAATATCACCATTGAAGTTAGAATTATTATTTTTTGAATATAATAGTTTATCGTATACTTTTTAATGTATTTATTAGAGACGAAACCTCTCATCATTCCATGTATTCACGGCGCGTGTGTCGGGTCCATCGTTGTAGTGAGAGGAGCTTCAACAGTGACTGGGACTTGTGACCCAGGTGTAGGTTTAAGGGACCCTATCTAACGCGTTAAACACTCACCTCCACCGTACAAGCTCCTCTCCCTACCTAACCACTACTATATTTAAACTCAGCTTATCTTCTCAGTTAGTTTTCAAAGTTATTTTTATACTGCGTCATAATCGCTACCTCTTGTGACTCGAGCCGAGCCCTTCATCTGTTAATAAATGTCTCGTAAGTGCTTATTTGACACTGTAAGGAGTTGTGTTTCTTGTATGTCCGTCTATTTGTCTGTATTAACTGATATATCTCATTAACGCTAACTTTTTCAAGATCCGTTTTCTTATATTATATTAACTATAGTTCTGTGGTAGGTTTGCTTACACTATTATAATGAAAAATAGTTATACTTTACATAGATTTGTTTGTTGGAATTAAACTAAATATATCATCATCATCCTATCAGAGCCCACTGCTGAGCCTCTTCTCACATGGAGAAGGTTCGAGCATTAATAACCACGCTTGCTCAAGACGGGTTAGTGATTTCAAACTTATAATTTGATATAGTTCATGTTTCCTCATGATGTTTTCCTTCATCTGTCAGTGATGTCTAAATACTCTTAAGTACATATGACTCGGAACAATCACATTGGTACTTGCCAGGATCGAACCCGTTCCATCGTAAACTAAACTAAATCTATACTATTAAATAGTTGTGTTAAATAATTAACGCCAAAGGGACTTTTAGCTTTCAAAGATCGAAAATGATTTTAAAGTTTTATTTAATCTCTTACTATTGGAAATAAGTAAAATACATAGATGCTCCTGATTGGTTTTCATCCATGAATACATGAGTTAGATGTTCCAGGAGTTTTCAAAAACCTGATAGTTTTCAAACATATACTAGATATAACTTTACATAGATACTGGATCATAATTAATTCATTATAATATCAACTTCAAACTAGGCAGACCCTGGCTATAGCTGGGAAATTGCCAGGTAGATGAAGAATATCAACTTCAATGTTACTTTTTTATGGTAAAAGTGGGCGACTGAACAGACGGCCTACATTATGGAGGTAGTACCGTCGCCCATGGACATCCACAACATTTTTTATGTCGCGAATGTGTCACCATCCTTGATTAGGGAAGAGGGGGAAGGAAAAGTGGGAAAGGGAGGGAAAAGGGAAGGGGTACGAATGAAGGGAAAAGGGAAAGGGCGCAAGGTTCAGGTTATTATAGAAATTGTATCATATTTGTAATTCAGAGACACATACACACACACTTCGTCTTATACTCGTATCATCTATTTTAATCCGCTGTCTTCACCTTACTATCATTTTGTACGTGAGACTACACACTCTACGTCTCCAGTTAAGTTATAATAAACTTAAATAGATATTACTTTGATATTAATTCTAAATAGAATACTGAAAACTGTAAGTATGACGTGTAAACAAGCAAACGTATAGTTAGTTCGAGTACGATGTCCACGAGAAACTACATATTATAGGATTTTATTAGCAACTAGTTTTCCTCCCGCAGCTTCGCCCGCGTGGAGATTCGTTATATCCCGTTTCCAAGAGAACCTTTCAAAAGTCTGGAATAAAAACTATTCTATGTTCTTTCTCAAGGTCAACTCTATCTCTACCAAATTTCATTAAAATCAGTTCAGTGGTTTAGGCGTGAAAGCGTAACAGACAGACAGAGTTACTTTCGCATTTATAATATTAGTAGGGATGATTGCACGGATATTACCAAAAAATGTACCATCTTATATGAAAAATTTAGAAATAAATATACATAAGTCAATTTATTACATTGGTTATTCTGTATAAGACAGACGAAGTCGCGGGCGTAGCTTTTATTATTGTAGTGAAACAAAAGCACAAGCCTAACCTATTGGCTCATAATCCATTTTCATCTTATTATTTGAATGTGATTTTAAATACAATTGTTAAGAAATCTAGTTATTATATAATGTAAAATACAAATGTGCTTTTATTTATGAGTTCCTATTTTCACAACGCCTATGATTCATATGAAAAGCCAAGGCCGTAATGATGCATCCTCCTGACGCTTCGACATATATATTCTTCTTCTACCTGGCAATTTCCCAGTTTCAGCCAGGGTCTGTCTTACATGTTGTCAATAGTTTTGGCTAATTGTTTTACGATGCCTGCCTGACATCAACCCGACGCTCCTACATATACATTAATCCAAGGTTTATGAAGGAATATATAACAGAAACAAATCATCATTTATATATTTATTCAATCTCCACGTTAGACAAATCTTCTGTAATCTTCTTCACTTGTTCTTCACTTCGTTTCTTCTCCATCTTCTTCGCTTCTTCCTTCTTCTGTCCGTATAACTTCTTCAAGTTGTTCAACACGTGATGCGGCATGTCCCCCGGTTTTGGCTGATGTATTTCATATTCTCCGTTGCTGTTCTTGACCAATTCAACCATGGATTCCTCGAGGTTAATGACCTCACCAGGTTTTTGGGAAGGCTTCTTAACTTTCTGTGGACTCCTCATTTTTTGGGCCCAGTTTTGGAGATAATTCCTAGGTTCGTCGATATTCTGTAAATTTAAAACATAATTGAACTATTAATTACATATTATGTATGACCCACCAACATCCTAAAGGATTAGAGCTAAACCCGCCACCCTAAATGTATATTCTTCATCAGGCTGAACTTCCACCAGGTCTTCTTAAAATACTATAACACTTTGTAGTACTAATTAATGACGTGTAATAATTTTTTACTTATATATATACTAGTTTTCCGTCCGCAGCTTCGCCCGCGTGGAGTTCGGTTATATATCATTTCCAAGAAAACCTTTCAAAAGTCTGGTATAAAAACTATCCTATGTTCTTTCTCAAGGTCAACTCTATCTCTGTACCAAATTTCATTAAAATCAGTTCAGTGGTTTTCTCGTGAAATCGTAACAAACAGACAGAGTTACTATCGCATTTATAAAATTAGTAGGGATTCTATCTTTCCTCTCCTCATTTTATTCCTACCGGAACATTCCTGGAACTCTATTATCCCCAGGAATGTTCCATCATTTCCCCGGACTATTAACCAGCTATGTCTGGTATAATGTAAGTCAAAGGCAGCTAATTGTCCGGACAGATTCCAACAACGACTCAACATTTTAACAAGAAACTAATTCACTAGCGTTCATTATCCCTACTAATATTATAAATGCGAAAGTAACTCTGTCTATTTGTTACGTTTTCACGACTAAACCAATGAAGTGATTTTAATGAAATTTAGTCCAGAGATAGAGTTGACCTTGAGAAAGAACATAGGATAGTTTTTATCCTAGACTTTTGAAAGGTTCTCTTGGAAGCGCGATATAAGCGAACTCCACGCGGGCGGAGAGCTAGTTATTTAGTATTAACAAAGAATTTTCGTGTTAAATATTAGTTTAGTTGGATATTTTATTAATATTATTCTATTAAGGAGATATAAATATATATTTCTTCTATTCTTTTGAAGAAAAAGATTTCATAAATATTTTTTGATTGACTAAAAATATTCTGCATATTAAAATTCTTCTTAAAGACTTTTATAATATATAAAGCGCCTGATGTAATATAATAAACATACTTAATACCATATTGCCTTCTTTTTACGTCAGGCGTAAAAATATAAGTAAAATACTGGATAAAAATATGAAGAGGAGCTTGTACGGTGGAGGTGATCGTTTAACATTAGATAGGGTCCCTTAAACCTACACCTGGGTCACAAGTCACAGTCACTGTTGAAGCTCCTCTCACTACAACGATGGACCCGACACACGCACCGTGAATACATGGAATGATGAGAGGTTTCGTCTCTCTATATATATTAAACCTACACCTGGGTCACAAGTCCCAGTCACTGTTGAAGCTCCTCTCACTACAACGATGGACCCGACACACGCACCGTGAATACATTGAATGATGAGAGGTTTCGTCTCTCTATATATATTAAACCTACACCTGGGTCACAAGTCCCAGTCACTGTTGAAGCTCCTCTCACTACAACGATGGACCCGACACACGCACCGTGAATACATTGAATGATGAGAGGTTTCGTCTCTCTATATATATTAAACCTACACCTGGGTCACAAGTCCCAGTCACTGTTGAAGCTCCTCTCACTACAACGATGGACCCGACACACGCACCGTGAATACATGGAATGATGAGAGGTTTCGTCTCTCTATATATATTAAACCTACACCTGGGTCACAAGTCCCAGTCACTGTTGAAGCTCCTCTCACTACAACGATGGACCCGACACACGCACCGTGAATTGAATGATGAGAGGTTTCGTCTCTCTATATATATTAAACCTACACCTGGGTCACAAGTCACAGTCACTGTTGAAGCTCCTCTCACTACAACGATGGACCCGACACACGCACCGTGAATTGAATGATGAGAGGTTTCGTCTCTCTATATATATTAAACCTACACCTGGGTCACAAGTCCCAGTCACTGTTGAAGCTCCTCTCACTACAACGATGGACCCGACACACGCACCGTGAATTGAATGATGAGAGGTTTCGTCTCTCTATATATATTAAACCTACACCTGGGTCACAAGTCACAGTCACTGTTGAAGCTCCTCTCACTACAACGATGGACCCGACACACGCACCGTGAATTGAATGATGAGAGGTTTCGTCTCTCTATATATATTAAACCTACACCTGGGTCACAAGTCCCAGTCACTGTTGAAGCTCCTCTCACTACAACGATGGACCCGACACACGCACCGTGACTACATTGAATGATGAGAGGTTTCGTTCTCTCTATATATATTAAACCTACACCTGGGTCACAAGTCCCAGTCACTGTTGAAGCTCCTCTCACTACAACGATGGACCCGACACACGCACCGTGAATTGAATGATGAGAGGTTTCGTCTCTCTATATATATTAAACCTACACCTGGGTCACAAGTCCCAGTCACTGTTGAAGCTCCTCTCACTACAACGATGGACCCGACACACGCACCGTGACTACATTGAATGATGAGAGGTTTCGTCTCTCTATATATATTAAACCTACACCTGGGTCACAAGTCCCAGTCACTGTTGAAGCTCCTCTCACTACAACGATGGACCCGACACACGCACCGTGAATACATTGAATGATGAGAGGTTTCGTCTCTCTATATATATTAAACCTACACCTGGGTCACAAGTCCCAGTCACTGTTGAAGCTCCTCTCACTACAACGATGGACCCGACACACGCACCGTGAATACATTGAATGATGAGAGGTTTCGTCTCTCTATATATATTAAACCTACACCTGGGTCACAAGTCCCAGTCACTGTTGAAGCTCCTCTCACTACAACGATGGACCCGACACACGCACCGTGAATACATGGAATGATGAGAGGTTTCGTCTCTCTATATATATTAAACCTACACCTGGGTCACAAGTCCCAGTCACTGTTGAAGCTCCTCTCACTACAACGATGGACCCGACACACGCACCGTGAATTGAATGATGAGAGGTTTCGTCTCTCTATATATATTAAACCTACACCTGGGTCACAAGTCACAGTCACTGTTGAAGCTCCTCTCACTACAACGATGGACCCGACACACGCACCGTGAATTGAATGATGAGAGGTTTCGTCTCTCTATATATATTAAACCTACACCTGGGTCACAAGTCCCAGTCACTGTTGAAGCTCCTCTCACTACAACGATGGACCCGACACACGCACCGTGAATTGAATGATGAGAGGTTTCGTCTCTCTATATATATTAAACCTACACCTGGGTCACAAGTCACAGTCACTGTTGAAGCTCCTCTCACTACAACGATGGACCCGACACACGCACCGTGAATTGAATGATGAGAGGTTTCGTCTCTCTATATATATTAAACCTACACCTGGGTCACAAGTCCCAGTCACTGTTGAAGCTCCTCTCACTACAACGATGGACCCGACACACGCACCGTGAATACATTGAATGATGAGAGGTTTCGTCTCTCTATATATATTAAACCTACACCTGGGTCACAAGTCCCAGTCACTGTTGAAGCTCCTCTCACTACAACGATGGACCCGACACACGCACCGTGAATACATTGAATGATGAGAGGATTCATCTATATAATGTTATATTAAATGTTTCCTCACCTGGTGAATCTTGGTGTCTCCTGGAAGAATTGGTGCCTGTCTCTTGGCGTTACTGCTGGGATTTGGGTTGTTCTTGGGGAACGGCTGGCCATCTGAATATAATGCAATAAATCTTTATATACATTTATAATGCTTCTGTGAGTGTGTATGTCACTGAACTTCTCTCAAACGACTGGACCGATTTTAGATGAAATTTTTTGTGTGTGTTCAAGGGGATTTGGGAATGGTTTAGATTCACATTTTGGGAATGGTTTTGTCCGCAGGACAATGTTTTTTTAATTAATTTTTAATTTATTAGTAGTTGTTGATACAAACGTTCTTTTTTTTTGACATTAAATTTGACAACTAACTAATATGTCAATCATTCTGTTTCTCTTTAAAACATGGAGATTTATGGCTTTAATAGGTAAACTCTCAAAATGTGAATAAAAAAACGTAACAGATATTTGTTGATTATAGGGCGATACGAAGTTCGCCGGGTCTTCTAGTGTCTATATGTGTATATAAAGTATATTACTGAGTGGCATAGTGTTAGTCTGAGGTCCGAGCTCCAACATGACTTGGAAGTCAGCGTGGTTCCCGAAAGCGAAGCCGAAACCAATACGTGAGTCCGTCCCTGGAATGATATAACATACACACACTTAAAAAATGATGAGATTGAGTAAGAATACTACGTGACAAACGAGTAGACGGTCTACTCGATGGAAGGTAGTTATTATCCCTCATGGATTTTGCAATATAAGGGATTTTGTGAATGTTTTGTCAACCTTGACTGTGGAAAAGAGATAGACGAAAGTGTGGGAAAGAGATAGAGCTATCGTCTCTCTCACTCATCAGAAAAACAAATATTAAAGACTACTTCACGCCGATCTTCTGTGAGAGGGTGGTACTTCTTAAGTCAAGTTGTAGTAACCACAGTTAGACTCTAGCATCTGTTATTATCTTTTACCTTTTACCTTAAATTATCTTTACCTTTCTTTATCGGTGGTATGTTGGAGTAAGCCACCGACAGCAGCGACGGTAGCTCCTCAGGAATGATGACGGAACCAGAAACTGTAATGATAATTATGTTATCAGTACATAAATATTGTTTGGACAAACAAGAGAATGATTTATGAAGTTCTTATAAGATATTGAATGTAAACTATATATGACAGATATTATTTTATACCATTAAAGAAATAATATATCAAAAATGTTGACATTGAGACAAAGGAGTCGAAAATATATGATAGAACAAAAGCTGCTAACGTTCCATAATCTGCCAATAGATGGCGCTGTCACTAAAATTGAAAATAAACCCTCTAATAAATCACTTTTTGTATTCGCATTTTTTTAAGATTCAATTCAATGGAAAAATCATTAGAAAATATTCATCTCATAATGAGGAGAGGTTAACAAATACTATTATTATGAGTAATAGGTTGCATAAAAATAACATTGTCTTTAATTTTTGTAGAATTAAGTAAAAAGTCATAAAAGTACATAGTTGTAGTCTCAGGAGTACTCTTATAAGTTCAAAGGGCATCCTTTTAACTTATAGAGAGACTTAAAGAATAAAGTACCCATGACCTACAGTGCGAAATATGTAAATATTAGATTTGACATCAATAATGAAACAAAAATGATGTAACATTTTTACACTCGCAATATTTCAAATATAAATTCGCAAACAACTCAACTGTAGTCAACAAAAAATTTACAAGATCGAAGGTCAAAGGTTAAATATTAATTGAATAATACCTTCAAAGATAAGAATTACGATTTTTTTTTAAAGGAATTAAGACAGCTGAGTGAAAAGGTCATAGTTGTTAAAGTGATGACATCCTTCACGAAATATTAAGCTGTGTTAAGTAAAATTTGAGTAAGTCAATAGGTTATTACTGTGAGAGGACCTTCATCACAAACAGAGTATTTCCACCCACCAATAGATGGCGTGACTGTCAAGCTCTGTACAATTTGAATTAAATTAATTAAATTAATAAATAGTTTGTACGTCATTCAGTCACAAATTATACAAAAGTAGCAAAAACATACAATTTAGAAATGCAGTTATCTTTACTAGGAGTAAGATGAAACGTAAAATTTTACCAAAAATATTTCGGAAAATATTAGTTTTATGTTGTTAATATAGTTTTCTGAATAGGACTAACGTAATGCGACATGCAATAGACGAACGGCAAATTTAAAGCTGATGAGATAAAGGAAACTGCACCACGTCACGTCATATCCGCTATATTTTTTTGTCCGTTCCCCCGCAAACGCAATCACATTTTAAGGTCATATGTACTAATTATATAATAAAACAAAAACCAGGTAAAAGTTGTTATATAAAGGTCGGCTGGTTTTTTAATTCCGTATTTAACGTGAGTTTAATTGAAAAAAAAAACATTCATTAATATTATATTACACAAAATTATATCTTCTTATATAATAAATAATATCAAAAGAGGTTGTATATAAGTTATAAAGTTTCTGTATAAAGAAATCTACTTATATTTCTATATATTAAAATATTAATGTTGAATATTTAGCCTTAACGTGACGTAAAACATTATACATTTCACCAACAGATGGCGCTGTTAAAACAAAAGATAATTTGATTTTTTGTTCTATTATTTATTCTATTATTAAAATGTTTTATTAAAAAATGCAAAGACTTGGTACTTAGTTTTAAAACAAACTTGACGCAAGGATTTCAAATCTTTTAGTGTAAGCAGTCGTTTGTAATACATATACATAATATTATGTACTGAAGGCTTCTTCTTCAACACACTTTAATATTGACGGTTTGATAGTATAACATACGCAAAAACAACTCTATTTACATTGAAAACTAATAATAAATGAAAAACTCTTTAATAAGTTAAATCGAGACTTCTTTTAAACATAACTTACAAGCTTTTTCATGGTTTTAATAACAATATTTCAAATTCAAACAAAAAGGATTTTTAAACAATTTTGGTATGGCGAAATAAAATCAGCAAAAGACCTAAAATTAAAGTTCCTAAAACAGTTTAACTAATTACTAAGTCCGATATATATAAATAACTTAAATTAAAATAATTTTTAAACTTGAAAGTATATATTTTAAGATATAATAGATACTTTTTAATGACTTATAACTCTCGCCAAGTCACAAACTCTCCTCATTTCCAATAAAGATGTTTTATTTTCCAACTAATTAGTCAAACTATGAACTAATGGCGTAATATTTAACTAGTCATAATAATGACTACAAGCTATTAAGTATTAGCTAATTAAATGTCTTATATAATATATTCTTAGATATAGCTTTCCTTAAGTGGATGACATTTGTTTTGTTTCTTTATTATTGTAAAGACAATATATTAAACTGGAAGTAACAATATAAGTATGTATAATTACTATTCTTATTGTGTAATGAATCACAATTTTGTAACTAATTTTATTAAAACGAGTTACACGCCAACCTTAACCTCCTTGCCTCTCACAAATCACATCCCTGTTTAAAAGTTTGTATTACATAACTAATTATAAGTTTTAAAACACCTAAATATATTGATAACTCACCAAAGGAAACTAGGAACAAACTTAATATCAATCTGCACTCCATTTTCTATATTTATTAATTGCACTCACGAAAAAGTTTTCATTCAGTCATTTTCAAAAACACACCGAAACGTAAAAAAAGGTTATAATAAAAAAAAAAGTCTACAGTCACTGTTGCGTTTTGCCGCCAAACTGACCGCGAACATATGACAATCTACTTTCACTATTGCGACAAGGTTTTATGTTCTGTTAGTAATAATTTAATGAGCACCTTATAATGACAGTCATTAAGCTCACATTCCTTTGACGTGAATAATTCATAATGCCCTTTTAATGTCGATGACCGTCCACCTCTTCGAAATTCAAAAAATTGCGGCAATAAATGCTTTTTTGGTATAAAATACAATTAGACTCTATTACTATGGAATAGAGTTTAAAATTAAGGAACTATAAAGTCTATGTGTGAGTTTCCATTCATTATTTTAATACGGCCTAATGTAAGAACGTGAAGTTATTATATTAAGCAATAATCGACTTAATTGCGTTCGCTTAAAGTTTAATTTTGTTTGAGCTGTTGCATGACTTAAGTCTCTCTATGAAGATGGATCCCACCACTTTCATATTTTGTGAAACCAAGAGTGGTGGTGGTTTTCCAACTGATATAGAAAGCTGACACTGTGTCATCAGAACCTATACACATAACGACACAATAGAACACAGTGCTCACATGAAGTCTACCAAAACATAAACAACGCTTCCAGTTCCGTGTGTCGATAATTTTTGTGTATTTTATTTATTTAATTCAAATTAACTTTCTTTATTAACATATTTAAAACTCGTTTCTTAAATACATTCTAGTTTAATATAGGAAAAAAAATCGATCACGTAACATCTAAAAATAAAAGTAACTCCGGCAATGGAGAAAGAGCAAACACTATTGCTCATTACAACACAATATTATAAACATAATTCTCGCAACTAGTCAAAGTTCAAAGGTCATTTGTATAAACACAATGTTATTTTTTATCATACTTTTAAATAATAAAATTATTTATTTATTTTGATTTCAATTTTTTATCGCGCATCCATAAATTGAATGCGTCGTCATCATCATCCTATCAGAGCCCACTGCTGAGCCTCTTCTCACATGGAGAAGGTTTGAGCATTAATCACCACGCTTGCTCAAGACGGGTTGGCGATATCAAACTTATAATTTGATAAGTCCATGTTTCCTCACGATGTTTTCCTTCATCAGTCAGTGGTGTCTAAATACTCTTAAGTACATATGACTCGGAACAATCACATTGGTATTTGCCAGGATCGAACCCGCGCCCTCATGCATGAGAGGCGGACCTTTAACCACTAGGCCACCACTGACTCCGCTGAAATTGAAAGCATCTGAAGGTTAAATATGTTTTTATAAAAACCACATTCAAACACAATATCTAATTAATTGATAATCATGGGAACTGTGTTCATTATAAATTTAACAAATTTCGTCATTTTTAATTTACCCGTCACATAAGAGAGCCGCTATTGTCATAAATGTCTCAAAATATTGTTATTATCTGTGCGATCATTTTAATATTATATAGTGAGTATGAATTATTTACTTTATAATTTTATAAATCTTTTAATGATTGAACACATTGTTTATTGTGATCAGTATTAAATTTTTGAAATTATAAAATTCCTAAACTATAAAATAAGGTTTCACTTGCAATTTATTAAAATCATTATTATAATTTGATAATAAGATTATATTGATTTGTCTTAGACATTTATATTTTTTATTTACCTTCTAACATAAAATATATTTTAAGAGCTTGTCAGAACTTTCGCTTTCGTAGAAAAGCTTCTTATATTTTACTATCTTCTGACTTCAAATAAAATTCTCTGACTGTTGTAGTAAATAATTTAGATTTATTTTTAAGAGGATGATTAGACTTATTAAAATTATTACGGCATAGCTTTTTAAAATACTGAAAACAATCATAATTTAACAATAATGGAGAATTTAATTAATGAAACTATAAAAAGAAATGTGCTTACTATTAAAATATTGTAAACAACAAAAGACATTGGCTTACACATGAATATTATCTACTAATAACTATCAAATAATCTGTACATTTATAACATGATTAATATTCAATAATTTTATTACAACAAATAAATGTAATATCCATCATTACTTTATTTATTGCGTTAAGTTTCCAGACGTATTGTTTAACGCTAAGTGTACGCATGCGCCGACCCGCGACGCGTCATGTCAAGGCTAGACGCGCGAAGATTGCTAACGCACGAAAATTTACTTATTTAGAAAGTGACTTGTTTATTTTTTTGTGGTTTCGTAATGTTTAGAACTGTGACCAAATGTGTTTTTATGTGTTAAACATTTGTAATGGCGTCCTCCTCACGTTTGTGTGAATATTCGGCTTAAACTTAACGCTTAATAAATTATTAACAAACGAAAGGAAGACTATTATTTAAATAAATGCAATGTACTGATTGTCTAGTTAAGTTTATTTATTACCGTATATTGTGCCTAAGATTTGAAATTGTATTTAAAATATAATACATATAAGTAATTAGTTATCAATAAATACGTACAATATACATTTAGCCTATTCTAGTCTATTACAATTAGTCAAACAGTAAATTTCAACCAGGGAGCTGGATAAGGGTTTCATAGCGGTGTCAATGCCAAGATAGTCCTTGATTCGTACTGATACAACTAATTAAATAACACAAAATTACGTGAGAGTTTTATTAAATCAGAAGTTACATTTGCATACATATTAGTAAACGAGAAATAGCGTGCTGTCTGTATGAATAGTTATGAGACAATTAGTTTTTATTATATATTATAAACGTGCTTATTAAAACTTATATACGCATGTTCGATGGAGTAATAGAATACATATATTAATCTAAATTTTAATGTAAATATAATATGACACTTTCTCGACGAATAGTATATCTTGATGATTGAGGTCGTATTAATGAAAGTTGCAATGAAAATCTGAAGTCAAGTGCGAGATATTGGTAAATAAACAGTATGGCTCAAATTATACTAACAAGTTACGATATTGTTTTGTTACATGAAAAAATATAGACAAACATATAGTTTTGAGTATTTTATGAATGTTCAAAAGTGATCGTATCTGGACGATAAACGATCAATTTGATAGTTTCAGACTCATGGTAAGTTACTATAAATATGAGAATAAGTTCAACATACATTGTGGTCAGTTAAATTGAATTAAGCATAGATAAAGCTTGATAGTACATATATCAAAAGGTTACTTTGAGAGTCTGCTCTCGTGTAAGCAATAATGCGGATTACTGAGCAGTTTCTTAATATAATGAGAGGAAAAATTGTGAATTTGTCACGTGTTAATATTGACAAAAATAAACTGTACTCTTAGATAACTGTCATTTAATTTACTTGATGTAAAACAGGGGTGATTATTTTAATTTTGACCGGTCGGAACTAAATACAGATACCTTATATCCGATGGTTTCTGCTATGAAAATTTACGGAAAACTGTTTAAAAGTCTAATAGGATGAGAAACAAACAACACATTTGTTATAGAAGTTCATATCAAACAATTATAAGTAACCTGTTCTTTCGTGAGTGTTCAGTAACATGAAGCTAGTATTTTCGGAAGCTAACACGTTTTATTATTTTAAATATATACGACATTTCCTTTACTATGCAGCAGACGAGATAAAATTTATATAACGAAGTAAATCCAAAAAAAATTGTTTTATTTAAACATATTCTGATATATTGTTGTCAGTTTCCCCTCACTCCTGCCTGTTCCTGGTGATCCCGGAAGATGTCGCCATGAGCTTCACCACATACTTCGGTTTCGCTCCACGGATATTGAAAGGTATTTATTATATACAAGATTATAATATACTTATACATATATCTCTTTGTTTCTGTCGTACTTTAAGTAAAACTATCGCTAGATGGCGTTACTAGTGCATTCAGTATTGTTATTAAAACTAGTACTCATTAATCGTTGTTTTCAAAATTTATTTATATTAGCTATCCACAACTGATATTATTATATAATTTTAGTAAAAAGAAATGATAATTTATCATACTATTAGTTTCTTTTAACTGTTAAACTGACAGTATAACGTTTCTGAAGGTAACGATCACCGAGTCGGTTTTGGTTTCCGTTTCGGTAACCACGCGGACCTCCAGGTGTTGTACGAGTTCGGACCGCAGCTCACGACGACGCCTCTACAGACTAAACGTATGTAATAAAATAGGAACGTATATACATACATATATAATATTAGTAATACCTAATTATTTATAATGATTTAAATTGTTGTCTACTTCACAATTCTAAGTTTAACGCTATTTATATTCTAATATTTATTAGGAATTCTTATGATAGTCAACTAGCGCCATATTTATATTTGTTATTTGTACGGATATGGTTGGAAATTGATGGAGAGATAGCTTAGAACCAGGAGATGGATATAAGATAATTTTCAACCCGTTCGACTAAAAAATTAATAAAAACTAAAATCTGTTTATTTACTGCCTCTAGAGCGAACAGTTCGCTCAGTCAGCTATGCATTTCTAATTATAAAAGTAACGCAGACAAAGTCGCGGTCAAACTAGTATGGTAACAAAATTAGTTAATTATTACTTAGTATCTCTATAAAAAAATTTCTTAAATTATTTATACAACTCGTACCCATAACTTCTTAGTGCTTATATTATTCATAAAATAAGTATATTTCAAAGAAGGATTATATAATAATATATGTATAACGATCGCCTGAAACCATCCACTTATGTATATGACTGATCTAATACATCCTAACAATTGTTTTCCAGGTGTTCCAGGTGCGAGGTCGGCTCCCCGCCGTGAAGTTCGTCGACCTATTCTGGAACTGCTGCTGAGAACTGGGATATTGAGACGGAATGAGGCTAAACAAGTTGGAAAAAGTTAGAAGTTGATGCAAAAATCATTCCATACATAATGTTAATTGAATCAAATATATTTAAACTGCTGGTAATGACTGCTGCTAATGCTAGACACAAATAATATGATTTTCATAATTAAAACATTTTAATAAATCTATTTATAAATTATTCGAAATGCCATATCTATATTGTTGTTACTTTTGTAAAATCTTTTACAGTCTCCTCTCACTATATATTACTTTATATTCAAATCACCAGTGAATGGTAAATTCGATCCCACAAGTGAAGATGTTTCTTTGCTTTCTCATGAGAAGGTGGGCCTGGTAATAATATTTAGTATATAGTATATATATATTCTGTTCCTTTCAAGTATATAAGATCATTAATAACTGCAATATCTTGATGAACTACAAATAAAATATTAAATGGACTGTGTTCATAGATACTTTTGCATATGCTAGGTACATGACAATCTTTCACACTCTTTAGATGCATCACCCTTAATTTTCTTCATATATACATATAAGGATAATCAAAAGAAGCAATCAAAAAGATAAAGCATCACAAATCAAGTGAAATACTATTAAGTATTTCCATGAGGTTTTCATCTCTGAGTTTTACCAATAACTGCATGTGGCAGACATAATCTATAATGAATAAGATATCTACATAATTTTATTTTTAATATTAAAGCAGTGTTAAGCAGAAACAATTTGAATGAAAAATATATGAGCAAAGACATACTCAATCAATATTTGATCCACAACCCTCAGGATATAAACTGACTAGATAGCTAGATGGAATACTAATTCTGAAGATTTCAGGTTCAAAAACTCTCCTAAATAAATTTATTATTACAAATGAACATTTCATATTAATTCATATGTATTCACACTGAACTTACATTATAAGTCTTGTCAAAAGAACCTTAAATTGAATATAATAAAAAATAAATAAAATAAAAATTCTTTATTTTCTTTAACAATTTTGTACTTAAATATAAAGTTATTGGAGTCTCCTTTTAAGCATATGAAATCCAGTTTTAGTACCTTCAACCATATTAAGTTAATTCATGTTTGCTTTATATATCTATTAATTGTGTTAGGTAGACAGGAGCTTGTACGGTGGAGGTGAGCGTATAACTCGTTAGATAGGAGCCCCTTAAATCTACACCTGGGTCACAAGTCCCAGTCACTGTTGAAGCTCCTCTCACTACAACGATGGACCCGACACACGCACCGTGAATACATGGAGTGATGAGAGGATTCATTTTATAATAAATCTTACACCATCTCATCTTGGTCAATATTTCCCTTCACCAATGTATCAGATACCTATTAATTTTGTACTTATTTCCCGAAGTCTCTGCCTAATTTTGTGTAATAAAAACCAGTACTATATCAAATAAAAAATAATATGTTTAAGTAAAATAAAATTAATCTTGCCAATTAATTATGAAACTCACTTGTAATATTGAAAGAAATAAAATGAAAAAGAATTAGTTGCAAGTCTTAATATTGATTCATTGTTAAAAAAAATACTACTAAAACTTATTTGATTCACATTAAGCTGTAGTATCCAATTGAGCAAGTGTGGTGATTAATGCATTCCCAAAGAGTGTTGATGTCAGGCAGGCGGATCGTAAAAACAATTAGCCAAAATTATTCACAACATGTAAGGCAGAACCTGGCTAAAGCTAGGAAATTGCCAGGAAGAAGAGTCTTAGTAGTATCCAATGAAGATTATAAAAATAATTATTTTAAGTTTTAATACGTTCATTAATAATTATTTTATTTACATTATTTAGTTTTATGATAAATGATAATTTTACATTAAATAAAATACATTTATGAAGAAATAGCTAAAGTAACAACAGAAAAGTAGGAAACCTTTTATCACGAGTAAAAATACGTACTATTCGATGTTAATCAATATAAAATTGTAAATATTTTTTTAAAAATGAACAACAAAACAACAGCCTAACTAGAATTCAGTGGATCATTTAAAATATAATTAAAGAAAATAACTCTGTTATACCTTAAAACTTTGAAAATCGTCTCTTTTATCCCTATTTGTTTACAAAATATTTTTAAATATATTTCCCCACTGAAACATAACCACAGTGATCTACAAAATGTTTAGTCTATGGTATGATATCGTTGTCACCTTTCAAGTGACACATTTTAGTTAGGGTTCAAATAATGTTTTAGTACATTTAATGTAAGTAACCCATGTTAAATTATTAACCGCATATAAGCTGCATACGATCCCTTATTTTTTATATTAAATAAGTAATTAATTAATTAAGTTTTTTTTAAATAAAATAAACAGATTATTGTCTATGCTCAAGGTAAATCTTCAAAATAATCTCTTAACAAGCTTTGATAATAAACTTTTTTTATAATATTGAAAATTATAAAAATTTTGTTGAAAAATATATAATTTATTTGTTTTAATACTTTTTCTAACCATAGACAAATCAGAACATATTTCTTACCTATAATTTTTACACCTTGAATGAGTGATTTGGTATTTGAATGGAATGGTCACACTGTATCAACTATCAATCAATCAATTCAAAAGAATTTACCGACACAGCTTCGGCGGGGTGATGTGTCGTGGATATAAAATTTCTTTATAATTCGTAAATAATGTCGTCAGTTACCACGCAGTCTGTGTTCAAGTGAAAGAGTTGTTTGTTTTATATTTATTTTTGAGACGTTAAACAATGAAAGTGGCCGCGACATATTGCTCTAACAACGCACAGTTTAGACAAAGTTTTACGCCTTTTAATTAGGTTTTATCGTGATTTCTTATCATAATTATCAATTCCGTTGTAAATTTGACGTCCTGTGATACGTAACTGCTACAGGTGAGTGAAAAAATTTATTATTTCTGTTACGATAAACGTCCAACGGTTTTTCTTAGTGGACGTATTTATCTGACATTCTCTGTAATTATATCAGTATGTGAGATATTCTGTTTCATTGATGCTGTGAAAGTATTTTTATTGCCTGAGAATTATCCATTGTTGTGACCTTTTATTTTAAAAATCACTTTCCGTAAACGTGACTCTAGGTGCACGAATTCATAATAATCTCTGTTCTGAGTCTTGCATAATTCAAAGTTTGAATAGATGCGTGAAATAAGAAAATTATGAGCCAATCTCTCGAAATAATTTAATTCAAAACTATAATATACATTGTAATGTTTATAATACCTATTACGAAAAAGTATAGTACATAATAATTTTGATTATTAGTTTTCATTACGTGATTTTGACTTGTTTTAAATTTCTAAATATTCATATTAACATTTGTCAAGAATACGCTATACACATTATCTTAAATGCATAATTAATTGTAAGAAAAAAATAAATTTTTAAATATATATTAACTAATTACAAAATACTTAACTTACAACATTTGGCAACTGTACATTATCATATAAATCATTAATTACAATATTAAAGTGGTCATTTAAAACAGGTTTCATATTAAACGAGAACTGGTTGAAAATATTTCAGAATGCATGTTTTAAACATCTAATTTGCATGAGGACACCGTATAGCACGCTCTTCAAGGTCTTAAACAAGTTGTGTAAATAATACTATTAAAATGTGTATCTCAAAAATATTACTATATATAGTATGTTACTTATCTTACAGTCAGGGTTCTTATATAGATGAGATAAAACCTCTCATCATTCAATGTATTTACTGTGTGGATGCCGGGTCCATCATTGTAGTGAGAGGAGCTTCAACAGCTTCAATAAAAAGAAAATACCTTAAATTCATTCTTATTAGGTTCATTTCAAATTTGGTTAGGTAGAGAGAGGAGCTTATACGGTGGAGGTGAGTGTTTAACGCGTTAGATAGGGACCCTTAAACCTACACCTGGGTCGCAAGTACCAGTCACTGTTGAAGCTCCTCTCACTACAACGATGGACCCGACACACGCACCGTGAATACATTGAATGATGAGAGGATTCGTCTAATATATACTGATTACTGGATTTAACTCCTGTTTGTATATTCAAATTTTTACATCTAACCATAGATTTAAATTCATTTATACCTAGAATTGTATTGTATATTACATGACCATGTTTTCAAACTATTATTAAATCACAAGTACAGTTCCTTTTAACAAAAAGTATATTTAATTATGAACTAATGCATTATATATAGAATTGTTTACTGTAAATTTTCAGACATTCACAACTTGACAAGTTCTTCATTTGTCCATTTAATAACTCGGTGATGTTATTTAAAACATCTTTCTAATTCAAATATGAATTTGTATTATGTTCATACTTTGTAAATTTATTATTTTTTAACATATATATGATTTTAAACTTATATCTCGAACTGTAATACATCTGATCTCTATTTCCCAAAGAGGGTTGATGTTAGGCAGGTGGCCGGTCATAAAAAACAATTAGCCAAAACTATTCACAACATGTAAGGCAGACCCTGGCTAAAGCTTGGAAATTGTCAGGAAGAAGAAGATTTTACATAATGTATATATTTCATCATCATACACTAATATATTTGATGTATTGATGTCAGGAAACCAGACCCTTAGGCATCGGCCAGTTGGAAATTCATAGAAATATTATTTTTTGTTATCATATCAGTAAACCAGATTTTTTATCAGTCAAAGTCACTGCAATGCAACATAAATGATTATGACATTGTTTCCACATATTTATATTACTAGCTTTCCGCCCGCAGCTTCGCCCGCGTGTAATTAATATTTTCGGATTATACTACGCGTGCTTTATTTTTGACTAGCTTTCCGCCGTCGTGGAGTTCGGTTATATCGCGTTTCCAAGAGAACCTTTCAAAAGTCTGTGATAAAAACTGTCCTATGTTCTTTCTCAAGGTCAACTCTATCTCTACCAAATTCCATTAAAATCATTTCAGTGGTTTAGGCTTGAAAGAGTAACAGACAGACAGACAGAGTTACTTTCGCATTTATAATATTAGTAGGGATACATATACTAGATTCCTGTCCCGGTTTTA